ATCTAGTTTCCATTCTGTAGCTTTTAGTGTCATTTAAAAGAGATCTGCATGCTATATAAAGCTATCAAAGCTATATATGAATTTATTTAAAATGTAAAGGCCTTGCTCACTTCCAATTCAGTGTTTTGGTGCCAAACCAAAAGTTCACCTCTCCTGGGGAAAAAAAAGAGAGACCAGTGGATAACCCATGCTAGGATTTTAATCATCTAATCAATTAACATCTATTTAGAAATAGGGTTGCTTTGACTTCAGTTAGGGTTACCACCAAGTAAACAAATGAACAACAGAAGATACTAGAGGAGCAATTCAGCCATGACAATTGGGTGGAAAAGGAAAAGAGGATACTGGCATTGGGTTACACAATACTTTTTTATGAAAAGGGAAAGTGAACATATGGTAGACTTGTGCGGAAAAGGGAAAAGCATTTCTGCTCCCAAGCCACATCAAAGATGTGCAAATCTCTAGGAAAAGCAAAATAGCTCTCAAATTGTAAGAGGGAGACCAAGATTTGAAAATAAAAGTTGCTGCAGCCATAGCAAAAAACACTGACTACTCAGAGCTATGAAAAAGACTCATTTTAGAATAGGGATGCAGGCAGTGCTGAATAGCTTGTAACCCTTTCATTAAACAAAATCATGTGTATTAGTATAAATGTGCATGAGTTAAATATTTTTTTAATCTGAGGCAGCAAGGCTTATCTTACAATTATGTCTGAAATCACCATACAGCAGCATGCTAGAGAAATTACATTGTATAACTGATAAAATTCCACTTACTCATCTTAAAAATGTCACAATTTCTCCCACAATTGCAGCACTGTATGTTGATGTGTGGCACAGAAATATATTATCAAATCAACGGATTCATTAAAATGCACCCAGAAAGAAACATTTACATTGTGAAATATATCAGCATAGCAGTGTTTCTGAAACAATATTGTAGGTGACTACATTAAAAATCCCCAATTTCCTCCTTTCCTCTCTTCTCCTCTCCTTTCCACCACTGACTCAATAAAGAGTCATGGTAGGTTACAAAGGTCAGCAGCAAACATCTGTCTGCAGGCAAAATATCCATGATAAATATAATTTAAAACAATTACTAACAAAAATAACAAAATACAAAGGTAATTATAATAGTGATAATAAAGTAAGTAAAGTTGTAATAAAACTGAGTATCAAGATAACACAAGCAAACTGATTTAAAATAAATTCAAAAACAAGTAAAATAATGGTGGGAATAACAAACTAAAGTGCCTCCAGCTTGTAGGCAGCCCACTGCGAAGAATGTTGTGCCCAGACCAAGGTGTTCCAACAGGAACGTAGTGCTTTCCTTGGGAAAACAGAAGAGGACCTTCCATCTAGACAGTCCATGGCACATGGAGGAGGAAGTGGCCTGACTGACACAGCTGGGAGACTTGATCTGCTGAGCTACAACTGCCCCTTTCATTTTACCCCTGGGCTTGGCACCTGTTCAGCATTATTGTTTTGGCTGTGAGGGAGACTGGAAATCTGCTTCTGTAGCCCCTTTTTTCCCTTTTTTTAAATGGTCCGTGACCTGGACTGATACTGTCAACCCTACAGGATAGACCAGACTAAAAAAACAATGCCATATAGATCAGGGCTACTTTCACTGTAGCAGCTATAGTAACAGTATCTGCAAGTCTGAATGTGCTTCCCCCTCCCTCACTTATCTTCCTTGTGAACTAAGGAGAGGCTTGTCTGACACGTTTTCTCAAGTAAGTTTCTTGGTAAGGGCTCACACCACACTTATCTGACCATTCCCTTGGTAGCAGCTTTTCTTCCTGTTCTTCCAGGCCATTCTTTACGTCCTCTACAGATACTAACTAGCAGGTCCATGGCTTAAATGCACATAATTGGAAGTGTAAAGGAAAGCTCTTGAACTGAATTGCTCTTGTAATTCTGTAACATGTATAGCAGGGAATTCCCTTCCTACTAGCTGCTTCTCATTTCCTTTCCTCACAGAACATTATTTAAAAAGTGCCATAGCAGAACATAACCTGGTACAGATATGGCTTCAAGATACAGACCTATTTCCCCCTTCCTACCCCTTTGGTAGGTACCCTTTGGTAACAGCTGTATGTAAGCTGTGATTTGACACAAGAATCAGTAAAGCAATTTCTCAGATTCCAGCTTTTCAATAAGACTTATCTAGTATCAGTTGCAGAAATCTGTCCATTGGATGGCAACCAAGAGAAATAAAACATCTCTTTTCTGTCACCTAGTGGTTGATAGGTCAGCCTGTTGACAGAAATCATGTGGATGTACCTGGGAGCATCCTTCAAGTCAAACATCTCTTTCTCACATTCCAAATCCCCTTTCTTGAACTCTGGCTCCAAGAACATTTATGCAACAGCTGAATCTGGGCTGCAGAAATCCAGGTGCCTATTATCTTGCAGTTAAGGGAGACAAGCTCTTGGCTGCTATGCAGTGGTCAACAGGTTGACAGTCTTTTGGAAGAAAAAAAAATATTCGAAAAGAATGGATTGGCTGGACTTCTAGACCTTACAAGAATCACCTGGTATATCTTCTGTATGGCAATTGGTACGGGTCTTTCCCATGGCTGGGGATGTTCAAACATCAGCCAGGGGAACATGCCAGTCACTGACCTTACAATGTTGCATGGAAGACCTATATGGATATCAGCACAGCATGTTAAGGCCAACCTGTGGGAGCAGCAAGATTCACGTTGACATGATTTCCTCCCACCTCCTAGATGGGAGGAAAGCAGTGCAGAGAGGCTGTGTGGATGAGCTCACAGACCTGCTGTTCATGGATCTGAAGATACATCTGAAGTAATAATTTATTTCAGGGCTCAAGAAAAAGCCAGTAACTCTTTCCTGGTTCTCATTTGGAAAGGATTTTAGTTAGGAAGCTTAAGGCAGCATGTGCTCTTTTTAATCTCTGTGGTCATTCTGACTAGTGTGAATGGTTCCTTCTCCCTGCCTTAAATGATGGCATTAGAGACAGACTGTTTATCATTTTCTGTTCTTAACTCCTGATCTCAGGAGTTTACTGAAATTATAGTCATTTGCAATTATGAACACTATCGCTGACTCACCTGTCTATACTTACTTTGCTAGCTGCAAGGCAAGCTTGATGTTTCTTAATTTCTACAAATCTTTGTTCTTCAAAGAATGATGATAAAATTATGAGAACTTGCTGGCTGGGTTTCTTCATTAAGAACTTGCTGCCAGCTGGCCAAACACCTGCAACCCCAAGAGCTGCAAACTCTTTTATTTCTCAGAGTGTAAACTAGATAGATAATATTCACCAAAGTTGTAATTATAAGCACCCTCTTACTAAGAAATAATCCCACTGAACTATCTAAGTAAGCAGCAGGCTTCAGCTTACCCTGCATTTCCAGTTTGCACTGGGTGTTGTTCCTGTCTTAAGCTACAATTCCCAGAAACCTAAAAATCTGGGTTTATATGTCTTGGTTCTTACCTGTAACAGTATTTAACAGTTGGTTCACATATGCATATTTATCACCAAGTGACTGCATGAAGAAATGACATATATTTGGGGGTGAACAAAAAAAAAAGCCCCAAAACAAAAGAGAGAAAATCGTATCTAAGAGACAATGCCTTTGAATGGAGGCAGTTCACATATTCAGATATAAATCATTCATATGATGAAACTTGAATGCATCTTTATGTTTAATGCAAAACACAGACACCATTATTTGGGACAGGAGTCAATAACTATCAGCAGGGAAGAGGTATTTAAGATATAATCATGAAGAAAATTGTTCTCTGAAGCTGCTATTTGCCCTGAAAAGGAATCCTTCATTGGTATAATTTAGTCTGGAATCCTATTTACAAACCTTTCCTAACCTGGGATCTTCAATAGGGGCTGGACTATGAAGAATTCTGGAAGTTGGAGTCCAGCACATTCAGAATGTACAATATTAAGGAGGGTGGCTATACTCACTTAGCTGGGGTGCAATTCTAATAATGTCAGCTTTGGTATGGTCCTAATTTGATAAAATGACCAATAGACCATTTGGTCTGATCTTTTGATCAAAGACAAAAACCTATCCTCTAGGTATTAAACTATGCAATCCAAACCTATGTACAACTGATCCCTTTCTTTATTAGATACTGGAAGAAAAATTATCTTCAATGCAGAAATTAAACAGGTTCTTAGCATAAGCAAAGACTTAGATTCGAAATATAGGATTAGCAGCATTACAAGATGAAGAATGGTACTACTTTCAGCACACCACAGGACTGGGTTCACACATCATAGTGAGGCTACTTACTTTCACACTAAGATTCTGTGTCAGTCTGAAAGCAGCTCCAAAACCTTATGTTTCAATGATGGCAGCAGTATTGGACAACATTGACTGAGCTGATTTATCTCAGGCTCAATTGCAGTATAGTTGAAATTGCTGACACGCTGCAATTTCTTTTCATTTTTGGAGAGAACCTTTGCCTTACTCTTCCTTCTGGCTCCTGTGAGTCACTTGGTCTCTCATTGGTTGAATTCACTCTTAATTTTTAGTGAATAGAAGCTAAAATGTGGCCATTGAAAAGTCATGTTTCAGACTGAAATCAGTGAAATGAATAACTCATATATAATGATCAATCTATTCTTTCTTTAACACTCATTCTTTAAAAGCTCATTCAGTTATTACGTGACACTCTAACTGGGTGATTGCTACTAATTGCTGATATTGCCAAAAAAAGCATATCCTTTAAAAAAAAGTCAATTTGTTACTGCCAACATAGAAATTTGCTGCATTTTGGAGGGCATGATAGAAATGTCATCCTGTTAATCAAAGTTAATCAAGATATTCCTGGACTCACAATTGCATCTACAAAATGTACAAACATACTTTTGCCATGCCAGTTCCATCTGCTGAGAAAACAGACTTATTAGGCAGCTATAAATGTGACATTACTAATTTATCCTTTTTTCTCTATTAGGCATTATAGGTAATTATAATATACTCACTGCAGGGTTGCCCTTGATAATTACCTTGGAAGGATCAACTAGAAAAGAACATACAGTAGAGGATCCAAAAGGAACATGTTCCATTTCTCCTTTGTTTTCTGTACTGTCTTCCTGTTGAATCTAACACACAGTTCAAAATATAGCTTTTGATTGATAAAACTCTTTCATACCTTCAAGACAACTTAAATGTAAATGCACTGTTCGTCTCTACCTTGCCATCAGAATGCCTAAGAATATTTCTCTGTACCATTTAACCAATATATTTAAGTGAAGATGGTGCTGGAAGATAGCACCACTTTTTATAATTTTGTCAGCATACCCTCAAGAATTTTGAAAAAAATTTTTTACTATACATAGTTCAGTTTTTCAAAACTGGTACCATCACTTACTATAGGATATTTGTCACAGGATTCTGTTTCCTGTGCTTCTATTTCTGTTCTAAAGATGTTTATGCCTTCAACCTTTGTCACATAGTCTCTTTCTGTACATTTGAAAAGATGTTTGTATTCTTCCATTTCTTCCCAGCTTTTCCTCTCCTATAAAATCAGAGCCTAAAGACAAAAGAGCCTTCTAAAATCTTCCAACTTCATGCCATATAGAATGTCATAATAACGGATCATAACAGTTCATCACAATGACAGCAATGAAGATGCAAAAGTTGTCCAGTCCAGCACATGTCCCTGCTAAAATTACTTATATTGTTTTTGTGTATACAAAACAGATTATTGTATTTACTTCTCAGTTATAGCAAATAGTTATATTTCTCTGGTTTGGCAGACCTGACTTAATGATCCATTCATATTTGCCAACTTGAGTCAATTTTTTTCAGAGGTGCTATACTGACAAAACTTTTGCTAATTATTTATTTTTCTCAGAAGGACTCCTAGCATTTATTTTCCCAATAGGTTTTACATCCAAATGACATTTAACCAAAGCAAACTTGCTGAGTACCTTCTTCAACCTTTCTAACTTTACCAAATTTAGATTTAAACACTACTTCACCCCTCTGCATCAAAATGTAATGGACCTTTGGACTTTTTTCTTAAAAATAAGTTTTTGTTCCAAGTCTTCTTCACGTTTATTATTTATTGTTACTAAAATGAAAAAGATTATCACTGCACTGTCTTTCTTCCTTTTCAAAGTTCCATTTGATAAATACAGGTCTGCATCTCCTTCTTGAGTTTTGGATAACTGTTTTGGGGCTCCTTCTACATATATCCAAATTTGCCTTGTGACGTTAGCTCATTCTCAATTCCTTGCTGATTGTGCATGTATGAAGCTTTCCTTCAGCTTCACTTTTAAGTGGCTTAAGCACTGTCAATGTCATGCTTTCATTAGAACCAAATGGTTCCCCAAGCTTCCTGCTTCCAAAAATAGTTTTATGCCAGGGCTGGTTCTAGGCCTAGGCAACCAGGCAGTCACCTAGGGCATCAAATTTTAGGGGGTGCCAAAATTGAAAAGACCTCCAAAATATACAATATAAGTATAAAATCTGATAATCTTTCCTCACTCCTTTAGGACTTTTTCTTTCTACACTTTACAAAAACATTTACCCACAAAGTTGGTTGAGTGGTAGTGAACAGCACACTAATCAGATATTGAAAGTCGCGAAAAAGAAATTATTATTACAGCTATGGACTTCAGGAAGCTGATAATATTACTGAAGCAAGACAAAGGTCTGATGGGAAAGTACTGAGTGAGCAAGTCATGTGACTATCAGCTTATCAAAGTTATACCCAGAAAAGCAGTAACAGCACACACCATGTGCTAGTGCACCTGCTCGAGGGTTAAATATAATTTCACAGAATTGTTGCCATATGACCACAGGCACTGATCTAATTATTATTTACTGTGATTCATAGTAAAAAGGGTGAAAATGTCTGAGAAAAGAAAGAAAAAATCGTCCAGGGCTGAAAATTGTAAGCATAAAGCTCAAAAACAGAAAGAAAGAAAGAAAGAAAGAAAGAAAGAAAGAAAGAAAGAAAGAAAGAAAGAAAGAAAGAAAGAAAGAAAGAAAGAAAGAAAGAAAGAAACAAACAAACAAACAAACAAACAAACAGGCACCTTTTTGAAATTCCTAACAAAATTGGAAGATGAGCCAAGCCATAGAGGGTGCCAGAATATGATTTTGCCCTATATATGCATATCTTGAACACAGAAGACCTGTCCCCAAACAGATGAGAAATGGTAGAGTCCAGACCAGGACTTAATTTGTACCAGAGTTCATCAGCCCTAGAACTGGATTGCTATTCCTGATGAGCCTCAGAATACATGAGAACAAATGTATCTCAATATCTGCAAAATTCCTTTTCTCTACTACTAAACAGCTAGACTTATTAATTTCCACCAAAAGGGCTTAGAAAAAAGGCTTGCAGAACATTTACAGTGACTCTCAGATACCTTTCCCCCCTATCAAAGCATATTAACATTCTATCTCCATACACACAAAAATCTATTTTTCTGCTTGCTACATTTTAGCAAACTCCTCCTCATAATGGGATCTATTTATTTATTTGATTTGCCATTCTTCACTGTCAAACATTCTGCTTCTACATTCTTTTACTTCTACATTCTTTTTTTTAAATAAATTTCATTAAATTTCCAAAAGGTTAAAATACAAGATGGGAAGAGAAGAGTAGAGTAGAGTAGAGTAGAGTAGAGTAGAGTAGAGTAGAGTAGAGTAGAGTAGAGTAGAGTAGAGTAGAGAAGAGAAGAGAAGAGAAGAGAAGA